GACAAAGATATGTATAATGTATTCATACATAAAACAATATTGTTATTACATTTGAATTGATAACTTATTTTTATGCAATTATACTGAACATATTTTTTTGTATTTGTTCTTAATTTTCTATTCAATTTAAGTTAAAATGTTGGTAAAAATGAACAATACTAGTCATCTATACTTATTTTATGAACTTAAAAGTGAAAACACAATATTTATTAAAAAAAGCAGTTGTGTTTCTTTTACAATGATTAATATTTAGAAGTATAGTAAAGTGTTTCTACTGTTTCTAGTATTAGTCACCGTTTCCATAATAACCTTTCAAATATACAACATTTTCCACTTATTATAAATCACTAAATTGGTATATTATATTGTTAAAGGAAAATGATATAAGTGGTTTACTTATTTCCTTTCACAGACAATATAGTGAGAATTTTTTTTATGGCTTCCTGCTGAAAGATCTTTCTCAAAAATAATTAAAAATCTAAAATAAAGATTCCGAATTTACAGATGATCATTCAAGTTTAGCTTTTCTCAACATTTAAAATTAAATTTACATAAAAAATAGTTATAAAGATTATAAGTTGTAACAAACTTGAATCTGCTAAGTATAGGGATTATTTATGTTTTTGTCATTTTTATGACACTAAAATGTTTTCAGAAAGTTGGTTAAAAATAACAAAAATTATTTTTTAGATGAATAATAAAAAATATTATTTATAAAGTAGTAAAATAAAATATAAATATAAAATAATAGGAATTGACAACTTCATTCTAACAAAATGTTTAAGATATTAAGGACTATTTTGTAGAGTATGTTAATAACCCAAACTATGCACTTACCTAGCAAAATATAATGATTTAGTGGTAAATATTTTTTTTCCAGCAATAGGTATTGTTTTTACTTTTTACATCGTCAAACTAACGAATATATGTATTGTCTCATTAAAATTTGTTATTGTCATTTGTCGTTAGATATAATATTTAAGCATATTATATTTTATACTTGTATATTATGATACACGAGTATTATATTTGTAAGAACATATACTGGTTTTAAACCGACGTTTCCAAATTGCGGACAAAGTGACAAAAACCATGATAGTTGCGGGCGAAACCTTAAAAGGTAATATACGAACTACGGACACAAAAATAACATACTAATTACGGACAAATATTATTTTTGATACAACGGTTCTAGACTTTGGGAAATTACTATTGGATATTTACGATATATAAATGACGATTGACATTATTGGATTGATTATTTATCAGCATTAAGATTGTGCCGGTGCTTTTGAGACGGCTATCAAAAAATATGTTTTATCAGTTTAACGAAGTTCTTACTCGTGCTTGTTTAATATCTGTCGTTTTGTATAAAAATGTTGAGTGAAAAACTTAAAGAGTGGCGGGTGATTGACGGTTTTAATATTTTCCGTTTTTATCGTTTAATTTACAATGGAATCCTGCAATGGTGGGTGTGTACCAATAAATCGTGTACCGAGGTATGCATTTCTAAAATTTAACTCTGGTGTTCAAATAAAAAATAGTCTTGAACACAACTGTGTGGCCTTAGAGAAACAATTTCTTGTGCTGCAGAATCTAAGCAATAATGTCGAGCGCAAAGCGATGGAACCGCTATGAGAACGTCCCAGCAAAATTATACATTCTATACAATATGATTTAAATATATTAGACACAAAGGATATAAATTTAATCCGAAACAATATCCACACTACTCGTATGAGTATAAGAAAATTGTTTCAAAAGTGTGATGCTGTTTTGACGGATGGTACTTTTTCAAGCTTTCCATCTCTATTAAATCAATTATTCATGCTTAACAAATAGTATTTACGATTTACATACCATTATTTTTTTCAATATACTACTAACCACTTTTCATATTGATTTTTAACAATCTATCCGCCCAGCAACATTTGGACTCTATGTTACCCGCCACTGTAACGGGGTGAAAGATCGAGAAATATTATTTGTGTCCACAAAAGTGGTTTAAAAAAAAACAGTACCTACACAAATACACAATTAGAATCATGACGATAAAACTCGTGTCCGTAGTTGTTATAATTAGGACCCGGATTTTTATGTAAAAATTATTGTTAAATATGTACTTATATTTATGCACTTAAGTTCAAGAATGTGCAAAAATATGTATTGTGTGTTAAATAAACCAAACATTTAAAAAAAATTAAAAACTATAGTATTGAGTGAAAACTTATAAACTTAAAACTTCCGATAGTTTAATTTTTGCAATACCTCACCCTTCTTCACTCAATTTATTTTCAACATTTTGGAACAATTCTACTTTTTTCCAAGATAAAAACCCGATTTTTCTAGATACGTTATGGTGTCTGTTACGAGTCGAAAATTTTATAGAATTATCGAAAGTTCATTTTTGATCGAGTTATCATTAAATAATTGTTGTGCATTTTGAATGGACTTAGCATCATTTGGGTTAAATGTGTAGACAAATTAAAATAGGTATTTTGTTTTATTCGGTCTAATTATATTTGTCGGGAATGTCGGCAATCGGCATGTATATCAAACTTTGAATAAAATTTAAAATATTTTATTAAGTATTTATTAAGCATGCAAATTGTATGTAATTATCTAGAAATATGCAATTATTATGCATTTTGAAAAAAAATTAACATCAGAATCTACGTGCCTATTACGAAACGTCAAGATATTTAATCAGAATTATTTTAAGTCAAATGTTGAAAAATATAAATTATGCATTTGCTTACAAATCTGGGCTCTAGTTAAAATATTGACCTGAATAATTTGTCCGCAACTTGTATGTGTCTTTTTTAATAATATAACAACACATGCCTACTTACTTATTTATAATGTTATTGTTACTATATTATAATTTAATATAAATTATTCAAAATAATATATTCACTATTAAGTACCTTTATTTATATATTTCCTAGTATTTATCATAAAACATATTTATTTTTTTTATCCGCGATATTGATGATACTCTCTACCCATATTATACTCAAGCTGTGTTCCAATGTACATCGTCTTATACGACGTAGAGCCTGGAGTTAGTGATTGACTACTTTCTTTTATATTTAAAAATTTTAAATACTCACATATTTAATGTTTATTATGATACTGAACTAATACAAAATTTCGTTTAAGGTATTTTTTAATTGTTTAAATTATAAATTTGAATGGGCAGAGGCGTACCGAGAGGATTTTATAAGAGGCCAAAGTTGGTACTTTGGCCGGGCGGCAGTTTGGCCAAACGATTGAGAACGTTTTACCGTTTTTAAAACACCATCGCTAACAAATGTTGCTTGTCAAAAAAAATTTTAGCTGATAAACGATTGTGACATTTTCTAGGCTATGTAGCCAAGTTTATATTTTTCTGAATACGTTATTTTATTTGAGGATTTAATTAAAACATTTCTTTTATCTATATGAAATATGATTATTCGATTATTAAGACTTCATTTTCCATTTTTCGTTGTTGGCGTTACCAGAAAAACTGCGGGAATACAATTTTATTTTATTTTACTAATCTAGCAAGACACAATCCTGGATGGTGTAGATTCACAATTGGATCCGATAGGTCCGACCCGGAAAATTGCTCAAACAGAGATTTTAAGATTTACGAAGAAAATATTTGTTTATATACGGTTGCTATTGGTTATGGGAGAAATATAAATACTGTGTTTACTTGATTCACAAATTCTACCTAGGCATGGCTAAATAATGTTTATTAAGCCATGTATCTATTTTGTTGTCACCTCAAAAAAATATTTGCCATGAATTGTTTCAAGTTAAAAATTTTATATTTTTTCAACCAGTCTGTATTCTTAAGAAAAAAATGATTTTTTTGCTCAATTTCTTTTAGCATTAACGTTCATGCTACCTATTTATGTTTAAACTTATAGTTATTATTTATTTATTTTTTTCAACCATTTCAATTGAATTATTATATTTTTGTTTAAATTATATTTTCATTTCTAATATAATTTGAAGTTGGATAGTTTTTATATGATGGATATAAATATATAATATATTATTAAACTATGTAAATGTAAACAATTACACTCATTTAATACTTTTGTACCTTACTAAGTATATAATACCTAGTAGGTATCTGTTTGATAAAATATTTTGTGATTTTTTTATTACATAATAAATATACAGTAGTTAGTAATACTCTATTACAAAAGCATACACACGCACACATATAATATCATTAATATCTCTTTGAAAGACAACTAAATAATACTAATTTATTATTTGTAGGTATTATTTATTATTTATTAATATATTACTTAATACTTATTAGATAGGTAACAACTGTTCTTAAAAATACAATAGAGGTACTATATGGAAATACAGTAGAGTCTCACTAACCTAGACTAGATAGGACCCGGACTCTATCCGGATTAAAAGGAATGACTTTTTTTTTAACTTACCAATAAGTATAAACAAAAAATACCTTATGTAACTATACAAATTCAATATTTAACGATTAACAATTTTACATTACATATTATTATTGTTATTATTATGATCAGGGCTTGGGACTTATTGCACTTAAAATCATTCAAATAAGCGCTGAAAAAAGCATTAAAAACATCATTATAAGCACTCAAATAAGCATTTATAAAACTTAAACTCAAGCAAAAATATTTATTTAAAAATAAAAACTAAAAAATTCTAGCGAAAAAATCAAAAAATAAATAAATAAATCGTTATCTTTATACAACCAAAAAATATTAAACTTCACTTTTGAGATTTTAAGGATTTTCTGAAAAATAAAATGTAAATAATATTTACAAATAATTGAAAAAAAATTAATTAATTAATTAAATACGCGGCAACGTTGATAAGCTAAGAATTATTTTAATTTTAATTCTATCAAAAACAACTTTGCAGGAGAAAACCATAAGAACTAGAAAAACTGATCAAAAAAGCAAAATTTATCATAAAAACTGGAAATTAGCATTTTTTTAAAAATTGCTGAAAAAAGCAAAAAAGAGCACTTTCAAATTTCATAATTGAACGTGTTGTAACATGACGTACATTTCCATAGCGATCTGCTACTAAAAAGTCAATGCATAAAAATAAGCAAATGCTGTAAGTCGAAAACCGTGATTATGATATATGTATTACATACTCGTATGTACATATATCAATACAAATTTAAAGAAAATAAGACTGAACTCCCTTAAAAAAATAATACAAACACAATATATATATAATCAAAACGATGATATCTTAACCATAGGTATTTCCATTATACATGATTACTAAAGTACGAAATATAGATTGTCCGAATTATACGGATGTCCGGATAAGCGAGACTCTACTGCACCGTATTAAGTATAAACACTATAGTTTTGGTTTGGAAAACAAGTAAGTACACTAGCGTTGTATATAAAAAAAAATTGGTATCAACTTTTAACTTAACTGAGTTAATTTATAATCAAATTAACTTTGACTTTTTGTTATTGGGGCATATTAACTTGACTTAACTGAGTCAAAAAAAATCATTAACTTGCCCAGCCTCGTAAATCACTAAAATAATCATCTAAATTTAAGTATTTTAAAAGGAACACACATTATGGGCTAAATATAACAACATTTAGTAATAATAGACACACATATATATATATATATGTGTAAATACTTCTAAATATGAAATATCTATTAAATTTTTGACAAACACCAATTGACCAAGTTTAAATAAAAAACTAAAAAATTAAACAAACTATTAAATATTTACTAGTCATAATTGATTATTTAAATTGAAGTAAAAATATAAATTAGTTTGAATGTATAAAAAGTAAAAAATTTGTTTATAAGAACTATTATCGAGTTGGCTGTAATTTAGGTTTAGGCATTTTATTTAGTAACCCTTGAATATCTTTTTTCTCATCATAAGATTTCCATAACTCAAATAGATTGATTATATATCTTGATATTTCTTGTATTTTATCTATGTCCACATTGAGCTCTGCAAACCATGATTTGAGATCCTTTTGCATAATAACACATGCAATTTGTAAACATCCTACAATAATAAACAATTTTAATTGAGTAAAACAAATTATTTAAGTAGGGTATTAAGTTTCAATTCTGAGCTCCTAACAATTTAATGATAAGAAAAAATATTTTATAGTTTCAATTAATGAGAAAATTGTTGAATAGGAATTTGTTGGAATATCCTAAGTCCTGACACACCAGGATTTTGTTAGATGTATACTATTAAATTGTAAATTCCGTGCAGACCGAGTGGTGCATTTAGGATTTTCTGAATGAGAGATATACATATTACATATTACATATTTATCAGGCTTATTATATAGTAAAAGTATAATTACATCAAGCTTAGGAAACAATCAATATATTGATAAATTTATTACAATATTTTGATGTGACATAAATTCTTTTATGTTCAATAAAGTTATTTACCTTTCTTCCAATTATTTTTTTTAGATTTACACAAAAGGTTTTCTATAGTTATAATAACAATACATTTTTAGTTGATAATATATATTCGATTCTCGGTTATATTATATTATTATATACCTATTTTATTTCTCAAGATTTATTTGGTAAACAATAAAATATAACTGAATTCTTAATAATTGTATTTTAGTCCAAAATTAGTAAGCAAAAACATTTTTTTTTTCAACTTTTAACTAATAGTAAACTAGTGGCTAGACAATAAAGTTAAAAAATAAAAGTATATTTTTAAAATGTGACATAAAAGCATTATTGAATATTAAAATGTTCAAACTAGAAAAAATAAGTATTTTTTATTTTTATGTTATTGTATAAAATAAAACTTAAGCGAATGCCACACCCGAGTATTTTAAAGTATTTGAGATAGATTTTATTGTATTATGAAAATAATAACATCTTACCTATAGCTATTTGATATGGTGGATATAACAATGACAAATCAGTTCTAAGACTATCATTCACTACTCTCCATGCTAAGGCCAACAATTGATCTTCATGTTGTCCAATATCTTGAACCAATTGAAGCAATGGACGGTAAGGTTGAAATACAATCAAACAACAGTCCAAATTTTCCAATAAATAAAATTCACATTCTAATATATGATTAGTTCGATAAGGAAATTCTTGGGTATATGCATAATTCAATTTATTTTTCACTATAAGAAAAAGTAATATATAACCAAAAACTGTAAAGTAAAATAATTATTACAGAAACATACAAACAGTCTGGCAAGTAGTTATTAAACGGCTGTTTGATATTACACCAAATTCTTCAACTTTTGATGCTAAGAAAACACAAGTTGGAGACAATAACAAAGGATCAATACATTTGAGAGAATTTCTAGCATAAAATCTTTTAAAATAAACTGTTGCCGTAGCTATCACTTGCTGCTTAAGTTTCAGTTGTTCACCTAAAATTTGGATGACTAAACAAAAAATTAAAAATGTTTGTTAAGTTTAAATTAAGCATATATCATCAATAATATTTTTCTATTGGGTAGTTATAAAGAAATATAATTTATGAATAATCTTACAAGAAGCTTATTGTATAAATTAACAACAATTAGTAGGTTTGACTTTCTGTAATTTATGTTACAACTTACAATTAGAAAAGAAGATTCCTATTTTTTGATATTCCTCTTCACTTAATATTTGTAAATCTAACTGACGCTCTCTGACTAGATCTTGCTTGTCCAATATCCATTGTTGACTGTAATATACAATTTTGATAAATTAAAATTGAACAAATAATTTAAAAAAATAAACATTTTAAGATTTAGTATGCCCGTATAGAAACTCTCAATGGAACCGTTCATCTTGTGGGTATGGAAGAGATTGGAAACATTACGTACATATGTTTATTCCTCAATACCAGTCATATACGTTACCTGTTACAACATTATTTTACTACTTATTTTTAAAAGATTCCGAAACGGACTGTCAAGCACGTATTGTTTATTTTTTAAACTGAAAAACTAAACAAATACATCTCAAACCCAGACAAAACCGGATTATTACTTACTAATGTGAACTTTGCCAAAAATTCCCAGCCATTTTCAATCAAATTTATTGTCACTGATTGGTTTTCACTTTTCACTTCCGCTTTTCACCGAATTTACAACGAGAAATTTATGATAACAGCAATAGCCAATGGAACGGTGTGTTATTTTGCTTTGATAACAACGATTAACGATTATCGCAACAACTGAAATTACATAAAGGATGACAATTTTTTGACGACCGGAAGTGGTTGGATTTACTTCCGACGACAAAAGGCGTGGATAATTAATAATTATTACGAATAGCGGTCACTGTTCAAAGAGTTGTACTATATGGTACCTAATTGGTAAATGTTTGTTGTCAATTAAATTTATGTACGGCGTTGTAAACAATTAATATTGTATTACATTTTGATAAGGCTGATTAATGATTATCCATATATCAGTGTGTGTAATGTGTATATGAAAATGATATTTCAAAAATTCGTTGAAAGAATTTATTGTTCTGCAGAAAACCGTTAGTGGCCGGAGCGATGGGTGGGAAAACGCGACGTACTGTCGACAAACGTTTACGTCGAAATATATTCATTGGTATAAATGTGTAATGCAATATAATATTATTATTCACATTTCACATACACTGACACACAGTGTGTCGTGTGTGTAAGCAAATACCTACTATAGATTAATATCTGTATCTATATCTGTATGATATAGTATCATCTATAGACTACAGTATTTGGTGAAAGCAACTAAGACAATATTTTTTGGTTATCAGTCGTGGATTCATACATTTATATATTAAATAGAATTATACACTGGTATTTGAATTGCAATTATATAACATGACAATTATTTTAATGTGAATATAATCCTTATATATATAATATATATCCTTGTTTGGGTTTTTTAATATTAGTAACCATTAGGCATTTGTATCAAATGTTAAACAATATAAACATTGAAAACATATTTATTAAAAGTAGGTTAGGTATCAATAAATTAATTGTAGGTACGTCATCAAAAACCATATTTTACATGAAAATAAGTACAAAATTGAATTGATAAAGCGGGTAGGTGAATGTCGCTCGTAGATACCAGAAATAAACGTAGCCATAGGACTCGGAATGATTTTTGATATCAGATTTGATGGCTGACAAGGACTACGACGATCGGGAGAAACGATGTACGTCGTAGACTCGTAGATGGTGAAAACTGTTGCTACTAACTAGTCGACTTAAGTGACTGTTTGACCGGCCGGTGAAAAAAATAATTTGGGCCTAAAATCGGCCATTGTCGTAGTCGTGAAAATCAACTTATTGTCATCGTCATCCATCATTCATCATATGTCCACTGCAGCTATGGGACATGGGTTATAGGTAGGTAGTTAGTGATGATCAAAACAAGACTAAGGTTAGTTCAGACTCTTGCTATTTTCACAAAATGTATAAAAAAAAAAATAAATACCTGTCATAGGGCTAAAGCCTCGGGTAGAGATGTGTAGGTTTTTTGCTACGATCTCCAAGATGAAACTTTACAAGTCCAATTTATAGAATATACTAATAAATTAAACATAAACATAAAACAAGTTAAACAAATTAGTTTCTATTTAACTAGTCTTAAAAATTCATATTTTAATTAATCAGCATAATTAAGTTTGTAAGTTCCCATCATGTATTTCATAAATATCAGTAGGTAATTACTAATTATTGACCATTATAATTTTTATTAAATATGTTGTATAATTTTATTAGAAAAAAAATATAATTGTTCTAAATATAAAATACAAATTATATTTATAATAATAATAATAATAATATGAAGGCTAGTAAAAAAAAAAAAAATGATTATAATATTTATTTTTTAAATTTATTATTCATAAATTCATAATTAAACTTTTATTCTTATTTTAGTATTTATTGGTAATAGATTATTTCTGTCCGTAATGACTTCCAGCAATTATTAGTATTAGATTCAAAGTAAAGGTGTATTTGTGGACATACATTACCCTATTACAACTTTTTTAATTGTTTTTGGGAAAATTAAGTAATTTGTCGGTACCTACTTGCTAATTATTATGAAACAACTATTTTATATTATTTTGTAATATGAATTCCAATTACCTATTTCTCGTTTTTTCAATAATTTTGTAGTTAACTATAAAGATCATTTCTCATTATTTTCGTTATAAATAAATTAATTAAATGTAGATACACTAATCTGATTTCGGGGAAAAAAGTACTGTATTTTTATTGTTTGGGTGTTGGTCTTACAGCGTCGGTATTGTCTTGGTCTTGATAGTACCAATGCATACAATATACAAATCCATAATGCCGTTCATTGTTTAATATTATATAATGAAATCATGGTTATTTATACCATCGACTACTCGAGTCCATATAAGTGAGTCCTCCTTACAGGATGTTGGGTATGTTTTTGTTATTTTCTTGTTATTATTTTGCTTAAGAGGACGCTATTACGCTACCCATGCTTATGTTGTCTCCGTCTTAGGTTAGGTTAACCTTACGACGTAGAACATTTTCGTTCACTAGTTTTAATGTAAAGTAAAAGTGTGCTGTTAGTTTTGATATTAGAGTGAATTGTCCTATTATCAAGGTTTTAGGTTAGAACATTACTTAATACCTATGCTTAAAAGTCGCCGGATTTTTGGATATTTTAGTTTTCAAGCGAAATATGAGCATTTTTGATTTGGTTTATTTCACATACTCGTATCTCCCTTGAACATGAAAATATCGAAAATCTGCCGACGTTTAAGTATAGATAATGTTCTTACTTAAAAGTGTTATGGTACTTAAATTCACTTTAAGGGGATTACAAACGTCTATTATTTCATCCAAAATATACTAATCTTTTGTCAATCACACCGATGAAACTGTAAACGCGATATAACTCCTGAAAGCTGATTTGAATTTATCAATATGTCTACTTGAGATCGATAAGTCCACTTTTTAAAATTTAGATCTGCAACTCCTTTAAATTTGGTTTGAATATTTAAAAAATTAAAAAATTTTAAGTGTTGATTATTCCTTATTTAAATCTAAAATCTCAAAATGTGGCTTGATCGATCTCAAGTGGACATTTTAAGGAATTAAAATCAGTTTTCAGAAGTTTTATCGCATCATTAGGTCCATCAGTAGGATTGACAAAAAGTACATACAAATTAGCATACATTCTTTACTGTTCACGCGCGCGACGTCGTAGCGGTGACTTGTACCGTGCGTGCCGGGTGCGTAAGTGTTTTTCTACTACTCCTTCACTAAATAACTTTGTTCTAAGAATCCGCAGGTATATACCGGAAGGTCTAT